TTAAGTTTTTATCATTTGGCATACATTTCGCTGACTTTAAGGACATGAAGTATAACTTTGTGTCTAGACTGGCTCCATGTGTCCATGTAATAACCCAGATAAACAAATATAAGGTCAACAGTCGTGTTAGTCTGACCCGCAATCAACAGTCATACGACTTATAAGAATTGCTGTACATGTATTGTGCTCTGAAGCATTACAATATGATACACAACTTAATAGAATATAAACCAAGGTTGACCTTATATTTGTTTACCTGTAATAACCCAGCCAACAAAAAAAGTGTTCTCTTTTGGCATAGTTAGGTAGCGGGAGGCATGCTGTATATTGATATGAGATGTCCAAAAGGGTAACATTCCACACTTTTTGCCTGCCGCCATAATCAGAGAGAAATGCAGTCCACAGAACAATTTGAATCATTTAAAAGTGAGAGCACAAGTTAGAAGCTCATTCTTCACTCATGATGATGTTCCTATTTATTTATTATTTATTAGTATTTTTACCCCGCCCTCTTCGCGAGCGGGCTCAGGGCGGCTTACAAGAGGGCAACAATGCCCATATATAAAACAAGATTAAAACAGCTTAAAACAAAAATAAAATCCTCGAATCACAAAAGTAAAGTACTCTATAAAGAACAAGATGGTCTTCCAACGGTAGGTGCCAGATCTTTCATTGGAGGTAGATAATGTCCTGTAGCTGGTACGCGGCCAGTCTAGTGGTACCAACCCAGGCAGTTAATATATGTGCCAGGTCCATCTACAAGCCTAGGAATGGAACACTTATCTGAAATACAATACTGGCATCTAATGGGCTTTTTTAGGGAAAAGAAGAACCAGAGAAACGTCGCAGCCAACATCGCAGAGAAACATCGCAGCCAAGAACTCTGGCAGGGAGGGAGATCCCAGACAGTGAAATCTTCCTGGATCAAAGGGACATCATGCGATAACCCGCTTGCACTCTTGACAGCTGCTCCTCATGAGTCATCTGCAGAAACGGAGATTTCTGCGGCTGACTCCTGAGTTGAGTGGCTCAGAGTCCTGGGAATTCATCTGCACTCACAGTTGCGATGTAGTCTTTATATGGACACGAAGCCTGGCCACCTTCATCTCTTGAAGATTTATGAACATAATTATTCTGTAGACAAAGACATGACTCCTTACGGTGAAATAAGCCTCTCTTTTTTTGAGACAAAGTTATCTGAAGGATTTATGGACTTAAAAACTTTTGGCAAAAAGCTTAATAAAGAGGAGATTTTAAAAAGTTTTGAAACTGAAAAAGGAACAATTATTTTTCTACTTTTCTAATCTCTTTTTAATTTTACTTTTTTGACGAAAGTGTGTATGCGGCAAAGTTACTAGTTAAAGAGAACAGACCGCCATGGGATTATTTTTTTTGTTCTTAAAAACTGTATTCAATTGAAAGATTTTACACAACAAAAGATAAAGTAATGATTCAGATAGTGACTGCCGTTACTGTGGTGATGTGACTCCAAATTGTGGAGATTGAAAAGTGAAACTGCTTGATTTGTAATGACTCTATGTTTGTAAGATTTGCTTTTGAATTTTATCTTACAATGGCAAATACCAGAAAAAACCAAGGTAGGAGAAGCTCAATAGACCAACCTGTGGGGAAAAATAGCTTCACCGGATTTGATTCAGAAATTGTTTGAACAAATAGAGAATAAAATGGAAAATCTTGGAAATAAGTTAAAAGATAAGAGATAGAAGCCTTTGAAAAAAGAATGACTTGTAAAAGTAAAAGAAAAAATGACAGAGGAAGTTAAACAATTGGAAAGTTCTGTAAAGCAAATGTCTGGAGAGGAAAAACAAATCAATGAAAAGCTAATGGTTTTAGAGAAGAAAACAAGTTACGGATAGAGAGCTGGAAAAACAAGTAGATAATTTGGTTTTAACGAAACAGAGAAAAAAACACTTTGAGATTTAGAGATATTCCAGAGGTTCCTGATGAAGGTATTAGAGAAAGGATTATTACAATTCTGGCTAATGTTTTGGGAATGGGAAGAGGAATACATGGAGACAGAAATTCACAGTGTCTGTGGAATAAACTCTAGATTTGCCAAAACAAGAAATGTCCCAGGGGATACATTGGTTCATTTTGTGAGAAAGAAGATAAGGAATCAGGTGCTCCAACAACATTTTAATACAAGATTAAATATTGGCAATATAGATATAATTGTTTTGAAAGAAATCCCTATTAGAATTTTACTCAAGAGAAAAGATTATACCTTCCTGACTGAAAAATTAAGACAGAAAAAGATTGTGTTTCAATGGGATACTCTGGAGGGTGCAATTTTCACTTTTAAGAAACAAGAGATTTAGATTGAACTGAGTTCAAAAGGTGAGAGATTTTTTTTAGAAAAATTTAAAAGATCTAGAGGAGATGGAAATGGAAAGTCCAGCAGAACTCACACAAGAATAGCAACAGGAACTGGGAAAGGATGATTCTGAATTAGGTGCCACAGGTACTAACTAAATTTTATGGATTACAAATGCTTAACATGGAATATCAATGGAGCAAACCCCCCACAGAAGGGGGGGGGAATTCACTATTCGAAAAAGTTAAAATAGGATATTATTTTTCTTTAAGAGACTCACATCAGAAAAAAAGGTATCAAATATTTGGTTTATAGAGTTTTGGGTGAAGAATTTATTTCAGCAGACATTAAAAAGAGAAACTGAGTTATTTTGTATATTAAAGCTCATCTAAAACCGGAATTGGTACTGAGTGATGATCATGGTGTAGAAAGAAGTCAACTTTCATGGGGTCAAAACTTTGGTGGTGAGTCTCTGTGCCCCCAAGTGGAGATAAAATGGTGTTTTATAAAAGACTCAAGGATAGTTTAATAGATTTACCATATGAAAGCTGGTGTTTGATAAGGGATTGGAATTGAGTGATTTCCCACAAATAGACAGGACCTCTGAGAAAATATTAAAATGCTTCAAGGTAAACGATCAAAAATTTCTTTGCTTTGATGAACAGTTTGGGTTTGGTTGATTTATGGAGACAGAAAAATGCCAGTTCAAGAGGATATACATATTTTTCAGGAAGATAGATCTTTTTCAAGAATAGATTAATAAGATCTCTAAAGTACCTTTTCTTTGTAAACCTAAACATAGACTATGTAGTAATCATACTTGTACTTATCGCATAGAAAATCAGAAGCCTCCTTTTATTTTATTTAGGTTTTTCCTCTTTTTTGTTCTGTTAGTTCTCCGTTATTAAATAAAGAATGCATTTCCCCCCCAGAAACAGCACTCTCGAAAACTTAATACCCTGAAACTTTTGTTGGTCTCTAAGGGGCTGCTGGACTCAAATCTAACTGTTCCGCTGCAGACCAGTTTGATTTTCATGTGCCAGTTGCTGTAACTTCGAGTTAAGTCTCCACCAAGTAGATTATGTTTCAGTTACCACTTTACATTTGTGACCACACAAGGGCTGGTCTTTGTATGGTTAGTAGTCAATATCTCTCTGAAAACCATCTCTCCTTTCTGTATCTTACCATTTTCAGGGGAGCCAAAATGGGTACAGTTACAAGATGCCTGATGTTCCTGATGCTTTTCCAGAACTATCGGAACTTAGGTAAAACCATAAAGAGCAGTACAATTGTACAGTTGACAGGCATCACTTTTTACTATAAATTCATTCTTAACATTGTTAGGGATGTACCCAAGAGGATTTCTTTTAGAGAAAATAGAAGCTGTTCCCTTCAGGAAAGTTCAAACTGTTTGTGTCTGTTTCCAGAATATTGATATATGAAAAAAGACCCAACGCAGTAACTTGTAACTAGGTCACATGGCCAGATTCTCCCACATAATTTGGAGGGTATTTGTATGATAGTTGGGCGTACATGTTTCTGCATGTTGAAAAGGATGTGATTTGCATGTACTTTGATTTCAGTTTACATAGATGCTCCTTAATAACATAAACAGTTACACCAAGTCACTTTCCCTGGAAAGGGTTCTCTAATCCGGAGGATAAAGAATAGGATCCCACTTGAATAGTATGGTGAATAAGCGTAATACCATCCATTGCATTTGGGTACTTATGTGCTTTTGTATGTATTCCCTCATTGCTGTTTCTGTGGTTTACATTCCTATCATTGTTGTGGAATCATTTTCGCCCAAGTGTAGTATGCCTTCTTGGCATTCACCAAAAATATGGCAGTATTTCATTTCCAGGATTCTGAAAAGACATTATATTAGAAAATCTGTACAGGGGTTCTTGAGCAAGATATGAGCCTAAGATCAAAAGCTTACTGTGTCAATAATATCACAGCCAGAAAACAAGTAAAACAAAGCATTGTTAAAGCAAAAGCAAGCAGATGAATTGTTGCAAAATACTGTTTTTATTTCTTCTGAAATCCAGCCTTTCACAGCTGACAGAAATGAATGAGCAAGAAGACGTGCTGCTGGAACACTTTGCTAATCTGCCTCAGTTGAAGCAAGTCATCGATGATAAGGATGATTTAGTGAAAAGTATTGAAGAGCTAGCAAGTAAGACGTCAAAATGTTTGTAAATCAAAAGAACATTATGGGAAGCAAATGGCTCCCTTCTAGGATTGAATGGTGATTTTTTTTTTTTTTTTGGCAGAAAAAAATCTACTGTTGGAACCTAATTTGGAGGAAAAAAGGCAAGCAGTGCTAGATAAAGTAAGTGGCTGAAGAAAAACAGTTTATATTGAGCTTGTGGAAAACAGTGATTTGCTTTTTCAAACAGAATGTTTGTTCCTCCTAGTATGAACAACTTACCCAGTTGAAGACCATGTTTGAAAAGAAGATGCAGCGGCAGCATGAACTTAGTGAGGTAAATTTTGATGCTGTCTGCCTAATGAATGGAAGCACCCATTCATTAACTGGGGGATTTCACCACCAGAAAAAGCGGTGTTGGCTATTATATTGCCTGGCCTATACATCTAGCACAGTGAAGTAGTAGCATGCTAAGCTGGTTAAATGGACTGTACTGCTTCAGAATGCAGGTGCTTGGCGACTAGCACAGACGGCATGCTTCCTGCTGTTCTGGTTTTCCACTATAGCAGGGTTTTGGTTTATTTACTTAGGGAACTATTCGAAAGTATCATCCCATCCATCCTGGAGTGCTCTTGTCTCATTCTGTCACATTTGTAGATCATCGCTGTTTCTAAAAATGAGTTGAAAAGCAAATTGACTCTTGAGAACTAAATAGGCTTGCCAAGTCCCCCCGGGGGGCGGGGAAACCCCCGCCCCAGAGGTCCGTTCCCTGCTGCCGGCGAATCGGACCCCGGGGGAACCCCACCCCGATGTGCATGTCACCCGGAAGTGACGCAACCATGCCGGGTATGCTGGGGGTGGGGCCACGGTCATCCGAGGGAAAACTCTATGGTTTTCCCTCGGATGGTCGTGGCCCCGCCCCCAGCGTGCCCGGCGTGATCGCGTCACTTCCGAGTGACAAGGATGCGGCACGTGCTTTGCGCACACACGCGCACTCCAGCCGGGAGTCCCCCGCTGTGACGAAGAACGCACTTGGCAACCCTAGAACTAAATGGAATATTCATGTTCAGTAATAGTATGCTTACGGTTACCAGAAGTTATTGCAAACAGGTGTTATGATTATACCTGGCTGTGAGCATCTCATAGGCACTGGGGTGGCCAGTGGTTCGTGCAGAATCTGGGACTTAACATTTTCTTTCCAAACAGTACTGATTACACATCAGTGCATGACATTTATTCTGGGGAACTGACTACAGCCTCATTAAGCATTGCTGCTTCACAGTGCATTAGCAAGTCTTCACCTGGGGCAAGCACTGTGGTCCTCTGGTGAAGCAGACTTTCCAGTAGCACACAAATACCTTTTTACCCAGTTTTCTGCAACTTGCAGAGAACAGAAGGGAAGGACTCTTATGTCAAACAGCTTTGGAGTAAGCAGAAGTATCTTCCTGCTCCAGAACTCATTGTGGCAGAGAGATCTGTCTCTTTTTCTCTTTCACATTGGGTGGGGAGGTGGGACAAAACCATTTCTGCCATATAAGGCTTTTAGAGCAGGAGTGTGAGAGATTTGCACAGTTTCTCAAGGAAATGAGACCCACCCTTTCCTCTCAGTCACATTCTCTAGTACACAGGAGGACTTGAGGGAAGTGATGATTCAACAAATGATTGAAATGTGGAATTAACTGCATGAGTGTGTAGTAGTGACTCACTGGCATAGAGGGTTTTAAAAGGGGACTGGCCAGATTCGTGGAGGACAGGTCCTTCAGTGGTGACCAGCCATGGTAACTAAAGCAGAAAAACCTCTGAATGCCTTTGCTGAGAGGCAGCACTGTGGGAAGGTCTTGGCCTCTGTGCCCCGTTGTTGGCCTTTCCCTATTAACTGGTTGGCCACTGTCTGAGATAGGTTACTGGTCTGGATGGGCCACTGGTCTGATCCAGCAAGGCTTTTCTTATATTCTTACAGGAATCAGTGGCAACTGCAAATTATGCCATACCAAAAGCTCCTGTGTATAAGCCCCGTTGAAATGAGTAAAAATACAAAATGTCACGCTCTTTTTTCTTAGTTGTATTTAGGACTATTTTGGGGCAGGAAAGCACAGGAATGGAATTCCGGCTGGCTTCAGAGTGGGCCACGCCCACTACAGCCAAAACCTTTGCATGCGTGGCTACAGAGGGAAGGCCTTGAGAGCGACACACACACCCACGACTCTGAGGCGGGCAGGCCAGGGGGGTCCCTGGAAGGATGTGGGAGGCATTTAAATGCCTCCCCATGCCTTCCCTGGCCTGTTGTCTTGTGGAGGGCCCGGCTTCCCCGGGGCAAGCCAAGAGAAGGCAGTTTAAACTGCCTTCCCTTCAAGGGGGGGGGCTTGCCCTGGCAAGTCAAGGGAAGGCATGGGGGTGTGGCCTAATATGCTAATGTGCTGCACTGTCAGGGTGTGGCCTAATATGCTAATGAGTCTGCTATTGGGTGTGGCCTAATATGCTAATGAGCTCCTGCTGGGGTTTTTCTGCAAAAAAAGCACTTGTTGTATTATGTGTAGCTTTTCCGCCAGCATGGTTCTGAGTGTTGCAAGCAAATTGCTAGGCCTTTGCGCTGCTTTGATCTTACTATCATACTTTTTGTCAGCCTTATATCTTTGCAGAAGCTTTTGGAGTTATATTTGGGGAGTATGTTATGTAATTTACAGAATGTTCCTTTTTAGCACTATGCTTGAAAACTGAATTTCCAGATGCCTTTCA